ATTGTTCCTATGCAGCCATTTAAAAGAATGAGACAGGTAAGTATACACTGATGGAGAAGGGTCTTTACATTAGTATATACTGTGGTTTTTATTTCAGTGATGTTTTAAGTGTTATCCATAGAGAAAGGTCTGGAAGATACATACTCTTAACAGTTTGATGTACGTTTGTTGGGCGGGGGGAGTGATGGATGGGTTGGTGAGCATGCCAGATGATGTGTCCTCTAACCTTGCTTAGTTATGGGTTGCCTTCACAGCATCTAGTGAGTGGTTTACATCTCTAGTAATTGGAAACTTGCCTGCTTAGCACTAGCTATGCCATTTTTAGTCATTTTTATTATAAAATATCCCATATAAGGAGCTTAAATATGCTTGTCTGTTTTATACATTCGTTTTTTGTTTGGGAGCCACTTAGAAGTCTGATTCCTCTTCCTATGATGGCTTGTTGAAGGTAAATTCATCACCCTTTATTTCCAAGTTAGTCTTAGCTCTTTCAGTTTTTCATGTAATTATTTGCAAACCCTTTACTATTTTGATGGCTTTCTTTGGTGCCCAGACTTGAATGCAGTTATGTAAAGGAGTCTGGTTGATATTCTGGGCACCTTTCTCCTGCTCTTACAGCTTAAGGGTACTTCTTTGGCAGCCTTAATTGCCTGTCCAGCTAAAACCCAAGCTCTTTCTCCCTACACCTCTGGTCCTCTACTAGCACATACGGGTTTTTTGGTGTTTAGTCTAAATATAGAATGTAACCAACAATCACTAGTAAACCTCATTCAGCTCAACTGAGTCTGAAATCTTTTTGGCTCCTGATTTTTTTTAGGGTTCCTAGCTTTGTGACATTCTTCAACTTGATCATTAGCATAAGTCTCTGCTGCTTGTTTATTTAAAGAAATAATGTTTGCAAGTATGTACTTCTTTCATTGACAGATATTTTATTGGGCATCCACTGTTGTGAAAGCACAGTGCCGGGGGGCTAGGAAGTCAGTGGTGACTGAGTAGCTCTTCCTTCGTGGGGAAGACATCAGACACGCAGTGTGATGAGAGTTTGGAAAGGAAAGGACAGCTCTCTGAAGGCACAGCATAAGGAATACCGACCTAACCTTGAAATTCGTGGACAGCTTTTCTGTTTGGAGGAGAAGAGGGTATGTGAAAGCTCAGAAAGAACTCGGAGGAGCTGAAGGCCATTGTGCTTGGAGCTTGGAGAGGAAGGGAGAGTGGTAAGAAGTAAGCAGCAGTTGAGTCATGAAGGGTGTTATAAACCATGGTTAAGATACTAAACTTTAGCCAGGCATGGTGGCATGTGCCTGTAGGCCCAGCTACTGGGGGTGCTGAGGCAGGGACGCGTGAGCCCCAGGAGTTCTGGGTTGTAGTGCGCTATGCCCATTGGGTGTCCACACTAAGTTCAGCATCAGTATGGCAACCTCTCAGGGACCACCAGGTTGCCTAAGGAGGGGAGGACCTGCCCAGTTCAGAAAAGGAACAGGTCAAGATACTAAACTTTATTTCAAGTCTAGTAAGAAGAAGTTATTGAAGGATTTTAAACAAGATTATGATAGATATCACATTACGTTTTTAAAAGATGAGTCTTATCATAGATAATAACTCCCCAGCCCCCACAAAAAACCCAGAGTGGGAGCAAACTTAGTATACTATGGCAATTTATAATGTTCCTTCTCTGCTCATGCTGAGGCCTGGAAATAGTTTTAAGTAGGGCTTCTCAAGTGAAGGATTTCATTCACTGTGCCTGTCTGCAAAAGTTATGACTCAAATTGGAAACATAGTGAAAATGTTTGAGTCATAGTTAAATGTTTAAGTAATTTAGGTTAATTCTATTATGGCTTGCTTTTCCTGGGAACCATTTAAACTCAAAAACAATAGTGGTATTTTCAAGGTAAGTTCTAATTTTATATAGTTTTCTTTTAGAAAAGATTTGAATAACTTTGGTGGAATTTGTCACAATAAATTAGGTTTTTTGTTTGCTGGTTTGTTACATAAAGCCAATTTATAAAAAGCCCTTTTTTACTGATTTTAACCATCAGTATTTATTTTTGACATAGTTGTAAACAGTGTTTAAGTATCATGGCTTATAACCACTCCTTCCTAGATTTTAAGGTAAAGAAAGCTTGTGTTCAGTTCTAAAATGTGGCAAAGTAATAACTTCCTTTAACTTTTACTTGCATTCTTGGTAACCTAGCATAAAGTATACATTGAAGATTTTGTCCAAACTGGAAATCTCTATTGTGATACCAGGTTAAAGCTCTAAGGATTTATGGAGCCAAGAGCTGAATTTGAAAAGTGTCAAATGTTAAATGGAAGGTTTATAACAGAATTTATTATTTTATTACACTGCTGAACTCAAGAGACAGAGAAGAAAAGTTTCAGAGGAAAAAATTGCAGAACATCTCCTTGGCAAGAATAAGAATTTTCCACTACCACTTGCCCTAAGGACATTGACATGCCCCATCAGGGAAATAGCACTGGATGTAATCATCAGGACAGCACTGCCTACTCCTCACGCACAAAACCCTGTCTGAAATTCACAGAAGCCTGAACACAAAGGAAAATTATGTCTTAGTTTGAAAAGTATTCACTGAATCTTTACTTTCATGGATCTTTTGCTTCCTTTAGAGAACCTGCTCCCTGATAGATTTAAACCTAAATTGACTCTTAAAAAAACTAGAGTCGCAAAGCAAGTTAAAAGAAGTCTTTCGTTAATTGAGGTTTCCTTAGGCAAGACTCCTTTTACTCTTACCTTTAGTTTCCTGTCTGAAATGAGGGACATGGGTTGGTCAAGATTATGTGGGGGTCTTTCTAGCTAAGAGAATACTAGAATATGACAGGTTTTTATGACCAGTTTGGATTTATGTTTACCTGTCTGCAAAGAGATCAGTTTCTAATGGAATGAGAAGTGTAAATAAAACTGTAAAGTAGTACATTTTCCAAGTGTTGGGGGACTTTGGGTCTTCTTGTCCTAGAGGTGGAATGTTTGGTGCATGAAAAACAGCACATAGTAAAGGTTGTTTTAAACAAGCCTCACAGGATCTGTGACCCCAGTTATGCTTGGTTTTGTTTTCTTGTATTAATTTTTTAGTATGTTTGGAAAACTTTTTTAAGATGTGGATCCTTGGACCTTACCACAGAATGCATTGAACCAGACTCTTGACGAGCAGGTCCCGAGGTTCTGTAGTTTATAAAAGGCCCCCAGGTTATCTTTCCTTTGATTCTTAAATATTTAATTGCCTCCCAATTAGAATGGCTGGTGTAGCATGGAAGGTTGAGAAGAACTTGAGGTCAGTTTTTAAGGGCTTCCCAAGTCATTTGTTTCACCAGCATTTGACATTTGGGGTATTCCTGAATATTTGGCCAACAATTAAATGTATATCAGTATAATTTCTGTACAGCAAAGAGACAGCCTTCATGCTATTAAAATGGTCCTTCAGGGGGAAAGTAGCTGGTTTCTTTATAATTCCAGTATAATTTTTAATGCTACATCTATATAGTGTTGATTCCATCTTAAGCTAATAGCTAATATTTTGACTGCGTTAACGAAAAAAGAAACTTAACCTTGGGACTTATTGCCTTAAAAATACATTTTCCATCCATTTCAGATTCTCTGAGCTTCCACTGAAACACAGCAAAGTAAATAGTGAGACACTACATTTGGGTCCTGTTGTAGTTTATCCTTAGTTTGAATATTAGATTTGTTGGCCTTAAATGTGGCAGGTATGTGAGAGTAAGAGCTAAGGCTTATATATGAGATTGTTTACAGAGAAAAGGGATTAAACTTTCAGTAGCAAATGAAACGTACTGCTTTCGATTGCTGGTGCATGCTTAGCTGTTACAGTGCAGAAGTGTGATGAAGCTTACTGACTGAGGACCTCTGTGCCACCTCTGAGAGGAGAGAGGAGTGTTCTGCTCCTGTAGGATGGTGACATAAATTGCCACAGGCATCAAAGGAACATTTTCAAGTAAATTTCCCATTTAGGGTCATATGCTTGTCATTGAACTTGTGGTTTTTTTCATGTTCAGGGTCATGCGGGATAAAATGAATTACAACCACCAGAAATAATACAGTAAAAAATATTTTATGTTGGTTTAAAATTTCCATCCTGATGGGGCATTTCAGCTGTTGAAGGTCACTCAAGTTTAGGATGTGGTTACTTTATTGTAGTATGAACAGAAGTATGTTAAAATGAAGGGTTCTGGCTCACTCAGTCTGAATATTGCTATTTGTTGCATAAGCATTTCCAGCAGCGTTACTTGCACTTAATGTGTCCCTGCAGTCAAATGCAAGGATGATCTTTGCCCCTTGAGATTATATGTTGGCAGTCTCTTTGCCGCCTTGTGACCACGTGTCCTACTTGGGCCATAGGGTTGTTATATGAACTGGAGTTCGAAAACAAACCATCCTCTCCCTGAATTTAAAAGCTGAGAAATGCAGGAAAAAAACTACTAAATTGGTTTAATAAATGAAATAAAATCTATTTCTTGGACAGAATGGCTGTTTTGCCATTTTGCATATTACCAGTGACAATTACAATTCAGTGTGTGGGGTAAATCTGGAAAATGAATATTTGACTTAAAAATGCCCTATGCAGTTCTAGGGGAGACTTTACTTACTTACTCTAATTTTTTACTGTCCTTGCGTAAGACTTCCAAAGGTACCTTAGCAACTTCTCAGAAAGTCAGGGAAAGCTGTTATGCATTTATTTTTACTGTTCAGTTGCTTTGTTACTGATGTGTACTCCTTCAGTATTTTGAACACAGTGCTGCGCCCTGTTTGTTATTTTCCTTCTGTGTAATTCAAATCTTATATCTATCAGCAAAAGAGTTTTTATTACCCTAGGATAAGTTGGTTATCTTGCTTATTTTAATAGATTTTTATATATTTGTGCTGTATACAGGTATTTTCTTTTAGAGTTGCATTTAGAGACAAATTTATCTCTATGTAGCATGATTGCAAAAGTTGCTTATTTTAACTGCCCCCTTTTCTCCCCAATTAGTTGGTGACAAAGTTCCTGCTGATATAAGGTTAACTTCCATCAAGTCTACTACTCTAAGAGTTGACCAGTCAATTCTCACAGGTAAGTATTATGCATTGGAAGGTCATTGAATTTCTGAAGCCTCTCTCAGACCCCACACTAATATTTAGCCCTTGCCCCCGCTATCCCTTTATGATATCCTATCTTAATTCTCTCTAAGGTCTTTATTTCTTAAAGCTTTAACTATTAGACTTTTTGGCAATATATGGGGTTTAAAGGTATGATTTTTAAAAAACTAACTTGGCTTTCATCTCATAAGGCCTTTATCTTTTAATTTTATCAAAAATTAGTTTTCACCAAAAATCAGCATTGTTTTTACTGTTTTTAAAAGGTTACAAATTCTTCCATTGGCAGAGGTTAATCTTACGGCAGAAATGTCTGTTTTGTGGGAAGTGAATCAATTACTTATTTAGTCTTCTTTTTCCAGGCTGGAAAAAAAGGGCTCTAGAACTGTAATTTTTTCGCATTGGGTGAATGCTAATCTTGAATCTTAACATACTGTGCAATAATCAAATGTATAATTAACAAAAGTTAGCACCCCCAGATAGTGAATATTTTACAACTTAAAGTTTGCACACTTAGATTTGGGATTGTTTGGAACATTTCCCCATTTTTGTTTAATAAAGGCACAGAGTAGGGTGGAGGGTTCATATTAACCGGAAGTAACATGGTTAGAAGATTAACTTAAACACAATGCTAAACTGAATTAGAGAATAAATATAAAATTCAAAGATTATCAAGATTTATCTGATTATCAGTTTTGGAAAACAGCTAATGTCATAGAGGTGGTGATGTAAGTAACCTTGTTTAGTGTTTTTTGTTTCTTTATGAATAGCTTTTCTACTAAACCTCCCATTAGCAACAAGCTGGAAGCTGATTAAGCCATAAAATGTTGGGGAATTAGGTTGTATTGATGCAATTCTCATAATGTGCCTACAGAAATAATTATCATTCTTAAACTTACACTTTTTTTAATGTAATTTTTTGTTGAATAATTATACTGTAGTTTTAGGCTAGGTTGAGGAACCAGGCTTTCTTTTTTGTGAAATATCGATAGTGACGTTTAATACCTGACATTTGAATTAACAGTTAGAGTCATATGGCACATATTTCACCCAGGCTGACCCTGATTGTATATTTTATGAGTGCTATTAAGTAAAGTTGAAACCAGATTCAGTGAGACATTGTAAAACTTCTAAGAATTACTGCTTTCTACCATGTGCTCTTTTTAGTGCAACTGCTGATTGCTGTTTTTCAGTTTTGTTTTATTGAAATGGAAGTCTGGTTAGTACATGCAAATATTTCTAAAACATTTTCATTTTTCATCTTTGACATTATTGAACAAAAGCAAGCTTTCCAGTGGATGATGCTCATTATTCATATAATGTTCTACAGTTTGTTCAGTTCATTAAAAGTAAATACACTTTGACTTTTAAAAAAAAATAAAAAAATTGGAGCCTGGCTGGTGTGGCTCAGTGGTTGAGTGTCGACCTATGAGCCAGGAGATCACGGTTCAATTCCTAGGCAGGGCACAGGCCCAGATTTTGTGCTCGATCCCCAGTGGGGGGCATGCAGGAGGCAGCCAGTCGATGATTCTCTCTTATCATTGATGTTTCTCTCTCTCTCTGTCTCCCTCTCCCTTCCTCTCTGAAATCAATTAAAAAAAATTATTGGAGTGTGTGTATAAGTTACTCCAGAAAATAAAGGTAATTGGCTGGGATTTTACTTCAAAATTAAGTTCCTTTATTTTGAAATATATTTATTTTAATCCTGACATTGCTCTCAAATTAGTTTATATTACTAAATTTTACTACTTTACCTCCTTTGAATGAATTGGTTCTTTTACTGGTTTCTTGAGAGAAGCAGTGGCATGAGTGGATGAGGGTTCCTAGGTGCCAGGTGTGGCTTGCACCGATCTAACCTTCCCTCTGTCTCTCAACCTGCTTAGGTGAATCTGTTTCTGTCATCAAGCACACTGACCCCGTCCCTGACCCACGGGCTGTTAACCAAGATAAGAAGAACATGCTCTTTTCTGTAAGTACTTTATCAAATGTTTTTTTGTTTGTGTGTTTTTTAGACATTTTCAGGGTTTTAAGTCTGCAGGTGTTACTTTTTCTCGCTGCCTACCTTCAGTGGTCAGATTTTAGAAAGTGGATAATCACAGTCTTCATGGTCCATCTCAGCTGTCAGAAAACATCAGGAACACGTAATGGTGGGATATGTGACCTAGATGTCTTGTTTTAGTTGGCAGAATTTTTTTAATCTTCACCCAGGGATGGCTTTGATTGATTCTTTTAGAACCAATGATTGATTCTTTTAGAGAGAAAGTAAGGGGGGGAAGAAACATCAATTGGTTGCTCCCCATATGCGCCCCAACCAGGGATCAAACCTTCAACCCTGCGGTGCACGGGTGATGCTGTAACCAACAGAGCCACACTGGCCAGGGCTTAATTGGCAAGCTTTTGAGGATTAAAATAAAAAGATCAGGTCACACATCTTTAAACTCTTTATCTATAAACATAGTAGAAAAGTAGGTTTATTTGGAAAAGGCTTACATTATAAAGGATGTTTTTTAAAATGATGTGGATGATACCTGTATGAGTTCACAATAAAAAGGTGTGTGTTTAGAGAGAAACAAATGTAGCAAGCCATTAATAAATGGTGAAGATGGGTGAAACGTCAAATGGCTGTTCATTGTACTATTTCAATTTTTCTGTTAAATTTTTTCAAAATAAAAAGTTGGGAAATTTATAGATTTTGTTTGTTTGGAATTTAAAATATTTCACCTCATGGGCTTTTGTGGGTTAGTGTGGGAGCCTAAGCACCCAAAGTAAGTAAAGTACTATCAAGTTACAATGAAATAACAAACCTTATCATTCCAACATTAGGAATTTAGCGGGGTATGGAGAGAACTCTCATACTTGAGTTCACTGATTTTAGAATGCCAATGCTTGAGTGGAGGTTGTCAGTCAAGGTAGCCCATAATGCTGGTTGCCCTTATTGGTGACAAAAGTAGGGGAAGTTGAGTTGGAGCCAGAGGTAGAGAATGCTTAGGGTTTAGAGCTGAAAAAATTGAGAATGCAGTTGGGTTAGAGCCCAGCTCCAGCCCAAAGCTATCTGCAAGCCAGATTCAGTGTTGTGAATAGAGACCCAGGTGGGTCAGTGTAGAGCTGCTATAGGTGAAATGAACACCAGGGAGAGATGTACCGCACTGCCTGCATGTTATTGCTCATCCAAGTTGGATGGCTGGTTCTCTAGTCATGATCCACACTGAGTTTACTAGTCAGTATTTAAGTTGGGAATGGTGGTAATCTTATAACCAGTTCTTCTCTGTTTCTGTTCTAGGGTACGAACATTGCTGCTGGCAAAGCCATGGGAGTGGTGGTAGCAACTGGAGTTAACACTGAAATTGGCAAGATCCGGGATGAAATGGTAGCAACGGAACAGGAGAGAACACCTCTCCAGCAAAAACTAGATGAATTTGGGGAGCAGCTTTCCAAAGTCATCTCCCTTATTTGCATCGCAGTCTGGATCATAAACATTGGGCACTTCAATGATCCAGTTCATGGAGGCTCCTGGATCAGAGGTGCTATTTACTACTTTAAAATCGCAGTGGCCCTGGCTGTAGCAGCCATTCCTGAAGGTCTGCCTGCTGTGATCACCACCTGCCTGGCCCTTGGAACTCGCAGAATGGCAAAGAAAAATGCCATCGTTCGAAGCCTCCCTTCTGTGGAAACCCTTGGTTGTACTTCTGTTATCTGCTCAGACAAGACTGGTACACTTACAACGAACCAGATGTCAGCCTGCAGGGTAAGTGGGAGTAATTTAAGAGCCTTTCCTGTCGGTCGGTGTTGATTCATCCTAACAATGTACCCTCGTGCCATCAAAATCTTTGATTTGTAATTTGGTACCTTGTATGTGCTTTTAACAGATTGGGTTATGTGAGCCCAAGGTTATTTCTAATACTTCAGAGGAAATTAATCATTTACTTCCTAAAACTGATGAAATAAAGGGTATCTGTATGGCTGATGTACTTGTATTGAGGAAATAACTATAGGTGGTCTGTAAACGTTAGGTGACTGCTGCCTTTCTTTCCCTGCTCCTCTGTCTCTAAGTGTATGTTTGTTAACAGACAGGCTTCAAAGGAAGAGAGTTCTGTAAAGCAGCTCGTTACCTACCTGCCTACTTAAAATTCTAATTGATATTTCCATAACACATTCAAGGAGACATGCTTTCTTCTTGAAAAGTAAAAATTGCCTTTAACTTTGTTCTTTGTGTTTCATCCTTCCTTTCTTAGGTTGTCTGACCATCACTTGGGGGTAAAATAAATTGTTTAAATCTGCTCTTAGAAAAATAGGAACTAAAGAAATATAATAATGATACAGCTGAATTAAATTCTTTCATATAATTCAGCTCATAAATTTTATGTAAACAATTTTGTAGAACTCACAGTATAATTTTCCAAAAGGTACACAACTCATACAAATATTTAGTGGACACATGTCAAAGATTCTTTCTGGCTCATTCATTAATGAGAGAATCAATCAGTAAGATGGTCAGACTGGTCACGAGCATTTGAGGAAGTGCTCAAGATTAGAATAGAGTCGCTGTTAGATTACAAAGACTGGTTAACGTCCTGTGGGACAATAAAACTACTAGGTTATCTTCTACAGCATACAAATCCACAGCTTTACATAACATGAGCCCTTAATTAATAAATAGCTTAGTGAAACACATTTTTCTAGACCACTAAATCTTTGATGGGCCTGTTAGATAATACTTCTGAGTGACATTGAAAGGACATGTGGTCATCCTCTTGGTCTTATCTCCAGGTTTTGGAAAAAAATTTTAGTATTGGAAATTGTTTTTGTTTTAATACAGTTAAACCCTCTGAATTGAATCTCTATCTTGCCAAATTTAAATTCATGATGATTTTTAGATAAAAATACCTCCAACTCTTTTTGTTGGCCAAATCCAGATTTAGAATGAATGGGCAGATGTTTAAAATAGATTAGGATGTTCTCTCAAGTGCTAAGCTTCTAGTTTGTCTTGCATTCCCCTACCAGATGCAGAGTTTGACTGAGCTACCTAACTTCTCATTCCTTGGAACCAGAAAAGTTTGGAAAGTTTGGCTAAAAGCTAATTGTCTGCTAAAAGCTGATTATTTGGGGGACAGAAAAGGAATTTCATGTTACCTGTTTAGTATTCCCCAGCAAACTGTTTAAACTTCAGCCTGAAAGCTTTTAATTCTCGAAATAGACCTTTCTATCCATGAAGTAAGCAGTGCGCAATTGTAACCTTTAAAAAAAAATTTAATTTCAAAGTATTGGCAGCAAATCAGATTTCAAACTAAGTATAAAATAGAGTCCATAATAAAAAAAAAATTTGTCCTTTTATTTTATTTGATTTTAAATGTTTTCTTCTATTAAAGAAACAGCCTGTGTCTGTTCTCTTCTACCTCAGCACAGAAAGCTGACGCTAATCAGTATTCTATAGGAGGCTTCTTGCAGTGGATTGCATAACTGCCCTTGACTTGGGAATACTTTGATCATGCAGTTTCTAAGTGGTTTACTTGCTCACAATCTAAAATGTCAAAGGGCATTCGGATTTAGTTAACTAACGTGCAGCAGAGTTCTGAATGCCTTAGAATATTTTAGACTGGTATAGACCCAAAGAGTTTCACTTTTTATAAATGGTATTATTAAAGAAATGGCATGGTCATTAATAATAATACTGCCAGCATACTTTGCTATTGCTTAGTGCAGTAAATTTTTCACATGCGACTTGATTTGAATCATGGGAATCCTGCTCAAGAGGTGAGAAAACTAAGGCTCTGAGAAGCTGTGATGTGTCTGAAGGTCACACAACTTTTAATACACAGGCTAAGGTGGGTTTTCTTATAGAAAAGGCTGGTAGTTAAACCTTATCCTCTCTTCCACTCAGTAATTGTGTAACCTTGAGCGTATTCTTTAACCAGTCTGGCCCTTTGTTTCCTCTTCTGTAAAATGTCAAACATCTTTGGAAAGAGCCTTTTGACAAGCTTTCTTTTTCAGGTGTTTATCTGTAAAAAAAATTGTAGGAGTCAGTGACCTTGCTGCATGTGACCTTTAGAATCTTTTCCTCGTTTGACATTCTGATACGTGTTTGAACTAGAGCCTTTTTTCAGGAGTCATCACAGCTTTTAAATCCAGTTATATGTTTTGATTTAAAACCATTTTGTATGTCTTACTCATGGTTTTAGTTCAGTTCCAAGGTTGATTTAATTCTTAGTATACTTTTAAAATGAAGCTTTTGAAATTTAAAAGTATGTGCTATATAACAAGCAAATCTTGTGAGGCAAAAAAGTTATTTTAAAATAAAGATGAGTTGATTTTCTTATTGAATGTGCGTTGGGATGCTCTGAAAAGATGTTTTAAAAGCATGACATGGTTCCCTTTTCCATGAACTTAAAATTCCTCATTGAGCCAGCTTGATCATTTTCTTGCTCATATTGCAGAGAGATTTTGGCATGATTAAAGTATAGTTGAAGTATCGCTTTGTGTGTTTTTGTCCATTCCCTCCCACTTCCCCCCCTTTTAAAGGGGTTTTGTAGTTTTAATTTGCAATGAAAACACAGATCTAAATCTTAGTCTTCCAAACTAGGCTTCTGAGTTATAATTAGAATGCAAATTTTAAAAACCCTCATCTTCAAGAAACTAGCTTTTGGCCCTGGCTGGTGTGGCTTAATTGGTTGAGTGTTGTCTGTGAACCAAAAGGTTGCTGGTTCGATTTCTGGTCAGGATACATGCTGGGGCTAAGGACTCGATCCCCCATGGGGGGCATGTAGGAGGCAACTGATCAATGTTCTGGTGTTTGTCTCTCTACCCCTCCCCTCGTCTCTCTCAAAATCAGTAAAAATATTTTTTTAAAAAAGAAACTAGCTTTTGTCACCTTACTAATCTATAAAATTAAGAATTTTTTCCTAAGCCTGCTTCTGTCTGTATTGTCGTGGTAACATCAGCTCATTCAGCTCTGCGGGCTCCTTACTGCATACATATAGTTACGCAGCTTCATGGAAAATGACCTAATGCCACAATAAAAATAAATGGAAAGGAGCAGAGAAGCAGTTTGTCTGTCTTTTCTCAGGGAATGGTGATCCAGCTCTGAAATGTGAATTTATTCTTCTCAAGCTTTTACTCTGAGCTCTCAGGCAGGACTGGGACTACCTAATACACACCTTCTCAGTCGGCCATTTGAGACTTGGAATTCTGAGCATTCTAGAGCACTGCTGACCATGGTCCCCGGAGCTCGGGTGTCATGTGGGTTGCCCTCTGTGTAGTGCCACTGCTGCTCGCTAGTTTTATATTCACCTCAGTGATGCTGTTTCTCAGCTTGTTAGATGGATGAGGGAAGCAGTCTTAAACGGCCTAAGGGACAATACTTCCGTTGCTGAGCTTCAGTTAATGTTTCATTAAAATCATCTTAAATAAGAAAGACTTTTTGTCTTAGCAAAGATTTTTTTCCCCCTAGCATATTTTTTGTACCTTTTAAACACTTAATGCTTTTTATCTTTCTATAGATGTTCATTCTGGACAAAGTTGAAGGTGATACTTGTTTCCTGAATGAATTCACCATAAGTGGGTCAACATATGAACCAACTGGAGAAGTGTGAGTAAACCCGCCTGTCACTTTAAGGACCCATTATGCCCGTTTGGGACTTGTATAGACTTGCAGTGTCTAGAAAAGTTAAGACAGCTTTCTGAGTGTGGCTCATGGCATCAGTTATTAGAGTAATAAGTATTTGTATACTTTTTAAAAAATAAATCTTTGCCCAGTGTTTTTTGTTTGTTTTAATTTTAGAGAGAGAGAAAACATCGATTTTACACATTCAGTAGTTGCTTCTTGTATGTGCCTTGACTGGGGATCGAACCCACAACCTTGGTGTTTTGGGGCAATGCTCTAACCAACCGAGCTACCCGGCAAGGGCAGTGTTTGTACACTTTGAAAGAGAAAGCACGAGTTATAAACCAATGACCTTTTCATCTTACTGAGCTTCCACTTGAAGCCTAAATTTTTAAACAGGGCTTCTGTTTGTACTTTATTGATACCAGTGATGGAGGAATTTCATGAACGAAGAAAATAAAGATTGGCAGAGATAACCACACTGTGCTCTAAGAGTGTTTTTCCTTTTGACAGGTATAAAGATGATAAACCAGTGAAATGTCATCAATATGATGGCCTTGTAGAATTGGCAACAATTTGTGCTCTTTGTAATGACTCTGCTTTGGATTACAATGAGGTAAGGCTCCTCAGAAATGAGAAACTAGACCTGACTGTTCCTAGTCAAGGGTGGGGTGGGTGGATGAAAATCCAGCCTTCCTTCCTCCCTTTCGAAAGTAAGGGTTCCTGATTTTATTTCCCCTTTCCATTCAAGATTCGATCTCTATCAGTCGGCACGACCGAGCCCAAGAAAGCTGAGTGCCTTTCCCATATTCTGCAACTGAGCATTGCAGTTACTTAACTAAGAGTTTTAGTGGACATGATGCTCTCGTCTGTTTATAGTTTAACTATACATGACTAAAACCAGGATAGAAAATGTTTTCCTGAAAGCATAGGGTGTTGATCTTGCTTTTTAAGATGGGTAGTGTTTTACCCTTGAGTACAAGCTGAGGCTTAGAGGGTTGTTTTGATGACATTGAAAGGAAAAAATTTAACCAACAGAAAACCTTTTTTCCTTTCTTTTTAATTATAAAAGAGTGAGATAAATCTTTTGGTTTCTAAAAGGCAAGTCAGTCCCCATCAGAAACAGAATGCAATACTATGATTAGTGAGTGGCTCCTTATAGTTAAGGGAAATGTAAGGCCTATTGTTAGAATAAGATAAGATACACACCTGTGCTTTTCGAGTTCCTAGTTCTCTGGATCCTGTGCTCCATAGAAGGATGTCACGGAGGGCAGGTCATCCTCCTGTGGAAAAGTCTATTAAAGACAAATTGCTTGTTTATACTGCTTTTCCCTCTCTGCACTTTCTGTGTCTTTAACCAATACAGGCAAAGGGTGTGTATGAAAAAGTTGGAGAAGCTACAGAGACTGCTCTCACTTGCCTGGTAGAGAAGATGAATGTATTTGATACGGAATTGAAGGGTCTTTCCAAGATAGAACGAGCGAATGCCTGCAACTCGGTCAGTGCTAGAACGTGCTATCCTGTTCATGCCGCCCGTCTCACCACGCACACGCTCTCGTACTCTCAGACAGCTACCTGTCCCCCTGATCCCCTCAAACTTGCAATGTCTTCTTCCCCATATTCACTCAGGTGAAATGATCTATCTGAAGAAAATAAAAGTAATCGATAGATAATTCCCACATGCAGCCATTTGTACCCACAAAGTCTGCCTTTTCCCGTGGCGCTGCGAATGAACACAACTTTCTAAACTGACACAAGAAAAATGGAATAATCCCGAATCTGTTAAATTGACTGAATATAATTCAGAACCTACCCCCACAAAAATTCTCCAGGCCAATTTCTGCCAGACACTTAAGAAAGAAACACCAGTTTTACACATACTGTGAGAACAAGTAAAAAGAAACCCTTCTCAACTCATTTGATGAGGCCTGGGATACCAAAACCTGAGGTGACAAGAAAAGGAAGCTACAAACCAATATATATTTTTACTTTTTAAAATTTACTTACTGATTTTAGAGAAACATCATTTTTTTGGTTCCACTTATTTATGCATTTATTGGTTGGTTCTTGTATGTGCCCTGACGGGCATCAGACCCACCTTTGGCATATCAGGACGACACTAACCAGCTGAGCTACCTGGCCAGGGCCTAAACTAGTATTTTTAATAATAAAGATGTAAAGACAACACAACATTCTCAAATCAAGTCTAGTAATATATCAAAACTGCAATATGTTGTGTTCAAGCAGAATTACAGCTGTAAGGCCTAGCTTAACATTCAGAGGTGAATCAGTGAGGTGGCAGTGATGGGAGCTGCAAAACCACATTGTCTGCCAGATCTGTGGTTGGTTGGTTGGTTGGTTGGTTGGTTGGTGTGACTAAATCCCTCAGCTTGAAGACAGCTTCAGAGAGACTGAGGTTTAGAATTGTTTGACTCCAGACTTGTAACAACTCGGTGAAGGGAAACAAGTAACATTATGGAGCTTAAAAGTAGCGCGTTAACTGTAATGACCGCCACAAATAAGGGCCGGACTGTATGATTTGTTTATTGTCTGTCGCTTTATCCCCAGTGCCTGTCACATAACAGGTGCTGAGTGTTTGTTGTAGAAGTGAAAAATTTACAGAAATCATCATCCAATAGTATTCCATATATGTTCTTTTCATAGGTCATTAAACAATTGATGAAAAAAGAATTTACTCTAGAGTTTTCACGTGATAGAAAATCAATGTCGGTTTATTGTACCCCAAACAAGCCAAGCCGGACGTCGATGAGCAAAATGTTTGTGAAGGCAAGTACAGCAGATTGTCACTGAGGCGTTCTTGCCAGGATTAGGATCCTGAGTTAGCCAGTAAATAAAATTGCTGACCAAATTTGTACCATTTCTAGGGTGCTCCTGAAGGTGTCATTGACAGGTGCACCAACATTCGAGTTGGAAGCACTAAAGTTCCTATGACCCCTGGAATCAAGCAGAAGATCATGTCTGTCATTCGGGAATGGGGTAGTGGCAGTGACACACTGCGATGCCTGGCTCTGGCCACTCACGACAATCCACTGAGAAGAGAAGATATGAACCTTGAGGACTCTGCCAACTTTATTAAATATGAGGTTAGCTGATGAAAAGTTTCTTCACCCACGCCCTGCACATTCATTGTGTTTAAACAGCACTCCTTCGGTAAAAGGTCAAATGAGCCTTGCTTTTGCCAAGGAAGAGGTGTGGTTATTTATTTTTCTGCGGGCCAAATGCATCACTGTTATAATTCAGGTTGCTGCTGCAAACATATATAGTTAAAGTCAAGTATTACCAAAATTTGAGCTAAACAAACTTGTAAAACCTATTTTGCAACTCGGTAATTTTTTTTATTTTTTTTTGTGGGGAAGGGACTGGCAAGGGCATGCTGCCTAGAGGGAGAGTGCGCCTAAGAAAATACAGAAACCTTTGCTCTTAATATCTAAGTAGCGGCTCACACTAGGGGAAAAACCAGAACTTCCTGCTTTAAGATAAGGTGATTCTTCTGTGCAGACCAATTTGACTTTCGTTGGCTGCGTGGGCATGCTGGACCCTCCGAGGATTGAAGTCGCCTCTTCTGTGAAGCTGTGCCGGCAGGCAGGCATCCGGGTCATCATGATCACGGGGGACAACAAGGGCACTGCCGTGGCCATCTGTCGCCGCATTGGCATCTTTGGGCAGAATGAGGATGTGACAGCAAAGGCTTTCACAGGCCGGGAGTTCGACGAGCTCAGTCCTGCAGCCCAGAGAGATGCCTGCTTGAATGCCCGCTGCTTCGCTCGAGTCGAACCTTCCCACAAGTCTAAAATTGTAGAATTTCTTCAGTCTTTTGATGAGATTACAGCTATGGTGAGTATCTTTGGACATGTACAAATTTTGACCATTAAATTTTTAGCAACAGCTCCCAGGTTTGGAATTTCTTGGGTATTGTCATGATCTGGGCTGTTTCTCTAGGCTTCTCTTGCCCAGGAGTTGGCATGCTGTGTGTTGCATGCAGGGAAGAACAGGGGAGTTTATGGCGCAGCAGTGCCTTCTAAGTCAGCCACAGGGGAAGTACTTAGTGATGTTGGGTTCCCTTTCAGACTGGGGATGGTGTGAATGATGCTCCTGCTCTGAAGAAAGCCGAGATCGGCATCGCCATGGGCTCTGGCACCGCGGTGGCTAAAACCGCCTCGGAGATGGTCCTGGCCGACGACAACTTCTCCACCATCGTGGCTGCTGTGGAGGAGGGACGGGCAATATACAACAACATGAAGCAGTTCATCCGCTACCTCATCTCATCGAACGTGGGGGAAGTTGTCTGGTGGGTCCCTAACACAAGTCACTTGTGTTCCTTTATCTAAAATCGGCTTGTGGCAGTCAGTTTTCCAGATTTGTTCTTCTTGTGGCAGCAGCTTTGGTCTCTGTGAACGAGGCAGGAGGGAAGACGGGGCAAGATGGAGGAAGCAAGGGCGCTCTGTGGCTGTCTTTAACGTAGAAATGAGTTTAAGTTAACTGTATCAAATAATACTCTTGGCCTTCTAGAAGTTAGCTGCAATTTGAAATTGGGTATAATAATTGTTTTATGATTGCCAAAAAAAGTGTGATTTCAAGTATGCATTGTTGCTGTCCATTGGTTGTTACGGAGGAGGGGGCTTGGTGATGCGATTTGAGTAGTGGCCAAAAATGATTTGGGGTCTTTCTCTTCTTTCCTTGCATGGAAACAGCATTTTCCTGACAGCTGCCCTTGGATTTCCTGAGGCTTTAATTCCTGTCCAGCTGCTCTGGGTCAATTTGGTGACAGATGGCCTGCCTGCCACCGCACTGGGGTTCAACCCCCCTGATCTGGACATCATGAATAAACCCCCCCGGAACCCGAAGGAGCCGCTGATCAGTGGGTGGCTGTTTTTCCGTTACCTGGCTATTGGCTGTGAGTAGGTTTTTTACATAGATATACATATACACGTATACATATGTAGCTATATAGTTCATTTATAAACAAAATGGGGGCCAAAATTTTGTAAATTCATCCCTTAAAAGCACATTTATTAGGGCAGCAAAAAATGGAAGCTGCCCTCTTAGTTTAATGAACTGGATGCCCGATTTTCAGTAAAGTGAGTCCCTGTTCTAGCACCTTCATCCTTCCTTGGACCTTTGTGAATGAGGTTTTCAGATTTAACCTCTGGGCAAAGGGATACAGGGACAGCTTAGGCCTTATATCACTAAGATATAAAATGAAGTTCCCTTTCCCTCAGCGAGAAAAGGGACCGGCCTATGTGCTCTTCAGCAGTGGTTGGTAAAAGCGTGGAGCCTGGCCGCAGGTTAGACTCTCCTACAGAGGTCACCTGTGTAATCCTCATCCTCCTGACCCGGGTGCTGGTTCCCTGCCCCATTTCATAGGTTAGGAAAGTGAGTCCCGAAGGTTAAATACCTTCTCTAGGGCTCCGTAGGAAGGCAACTTAAAATTCAAAAAGCACACCCTGGCGTAAAGTGGGCAGGCTTTCGGCCAGCCAGTTCCCTCCTGCGGTGACAGCTTCTGTCCTGGGGAAAGGCCCACAAGGCAGCAGCTGCAGTGACGGCTGCAGCGTGTCAGCGCCGTGATGTTTGTTTCCAGGTTATGTTGGCGCTGCTACTGTGGGTGCTGCTGCGTGGTGGTTCATTGCTGCTGATGGTGGTCCAAGAGTGTCCTTATACCAGCTGGTAGGTAGCCGCCTTCCCTTCTGTGCCTTGGCGCAGAGAGCTGGGAGCCCTCACAAGCAGGATATCCTTATGCCCTCTGTGGTTTGGGTGCTGGTCAGACAATCTTAAGGCTCAAACAACCTACAGTTGCATCAAAGATTGTTCTGAAGGGCCCGCTTCTCTGGAAAATGGGGTGAGGTCTTGTGTGGGTCTGTGTTCTGGGCTGAGTTGGAATTGGTGCGTGGACTTAGGAAATGTACTTGGCTGATCAGGAACTTGATTGGACTTTTGTTGCAGAGTCATTTCCTACAGTGTAAAGAGGACAACCCAGACTTTGAAGGAGTGGATTGTGCAATCTTTGAATCCCCATACCCGATGACAATGGCACTCTCTGTTCTAGTAACCATAGAGATGTGTAACGCCCTCAACAGGTCAGTGAGTCTTCCCCCCAAGCTGGGGCGAAAGCTCTGGCAGCCAGGGCGCTGTGGGCCTGTGTGTCATGGTTGGTTGCCGGTCACAGGAAGGCTCTTCCTTCCCAAAAGAAAGAACAGGCAGCACAGGCTTCTAAAGCAGCGGCGTCCTCTCCAGGAAGCAATGGGAGGGCTTAGCCACGTGTTCCTTACGAGACGGCGGGGGACAAAAAGAGGGACTTCAGTGCCCGTGTGCCAGTGCCCACAGGGAAGGAAGGAGCTTTTCCCTTTAGCATTGCAACACATGGTATCATCCAATTAAGCTAGTGACAAAAATGGAAATTTCAGAAATAGCCTAAGTGTCAAGGGCAGTTGAGCAGCTTTGAGCCCAATGAAACAGAATCCGCTGTGCCGAAGCCTAGATTTAAAATTGGAAATTCGTCCTATATCTGAACTTCTTCCTCAACTTTGCCATGCTATAAACTTCAGTCAGTAGAATTAGGTCAGTGGGTGATGTCAAGTTAGCTGCTGCTCAGTTCAGTGTTTCTGAACAATCTCTGTCTCTTGTGACACATGCCTTTTGATTGGGCCTGTTCCGTGTACCTCTCTCCTTGTGCAGCTTGTCTGAAAACCAGTCCCTGCTGAGGATGCCCCCTTGGGAGAATATCTGGCTCGTGGGCTCCATCTGCCTGTCCATGTCGCTCCACTTCCTAATCCTCTATGTGGAACCCTTGCCAGTAAGTGGTGGGGCCGGGGCCGGGGCCGGGGCCTGGCTGCCTCCAGTGAGGCTGGGAGCCTGACGCGGCTTCTGTGTTTCAGCTTATCTTCCAGATCACACCGCTAAATTTGACCCAGTGGCTGATGGTGCTGAAAATCTCCTTGCCTGTGATTCTATTGGATGAGACGCTTAAGTTTGTGGCCCGCAACTACCTGGAACCTGGTAAAGAGTGTGTGCAGCCTGCCAGCAAATCCTGCTCGTTCTCGGCATGCACCGATGGGATTTCCTGGCCGTTTGTGCTGTTCATAATGCCCCTTGTGATCTGGGTGTATAGCACAGACACTAACTTTAGCGATATGTTCTGGTCTTGACTGACAGTTTTACATAAAGAAGATGTTTAACTTAATCAATTAATTTTTTATTGTTTAAAGCAACTGTCTATTTCTGCTGAATTTCACATGAACATATTGGCTGGTGAAGGAGGTTTCATACTCTAGATTTTGTTTTGCTTTTTCTGACTCCAGTGGGGCAAGATTTTCCTTTTTTATACACATAATTAAAGTGTCCATTGACATGTACAGAGAACTAACACTATTTTATGCAAATATTTTTTTGTAGATGAAAAAGCATGTACAGTGTTCTGTTTAATACTCATCCTTGTATAAAAAAAAAAAGTTGAGCCAGCAGACATTGTCAGCAAATTAATTGGCAGCAGATTTTAGGAAATGAATGTGTGTGGTTTTTTCTAAAACAAAATAGCATGTATTGTGTCTTTTGCATGATCATCTGGGTTTAATCTGAGATCACAGTCTAATTTTTATTCATAAGCCAATTTTTCTGCACTGGGCAGAGTACTGCTACCTCAGTCAGTATTTTTTGGTTTGCCACTCCCTCACCCCTCTCGGTTCACCTCCACCCCCACCCCACCCCGGTCCTGCCCGCTCAGCCCGCTTCTCCTGTAGGATTTCGATGGTTCTGTTTACATCAGTCTTAAGAGGTATGCCTGTTCTCGCTTGTGCAGAAAACATTGTTCCAGATTCGATTGACTGGGTTCATGTCCCCTCACGTAGTTTTTAAGGTTATTTATTTAAATGTCTAGTCTATTTTATTGTAACAGACATTGTTTTGCCAACATTGCCTATTTCAGTGGCACTTCACAATCTAGTTAAAAAAATAAAACATTTTAAATGGACAGAAAAATAACTGCCTTGTTTTTAACTCTTAAGTGGCCTAGCTTGAACTACCAACTTTCTCCTAAGTCCTTAGCGCAGACCCTAGTTTTACTGTGGTTTGGTTACAGGGAAGAAGGAGCCTGTTCTGCTGCAGAGGTAGCTGTAAGAATTTTATTTTTTAATCTATAGGCACTGTCATCTGTGACATTTTATGCAAGTTTCTGCTGGCCTGTTTTAGCCTGGTGTAGAGAACATAAGGGCAGGCGTGTGTGTGTATGTGCGTGTATGTGTTTTGTAAAATCTGTAAATAGCACATGACCAAATGAACATATTGTATAGAACTATTTTTATTTGAATGTGGCACTAACCACCACCATCATACTATGATAAATGTTTGCGCATGTTCCAGATCAGTCTTATCAACAGTGTGTAAGTCATTAACAGCCCTAACTGTGGTGTTTTCCTCCAATGCCTTCCAACATCCATCAACTAACGTGAGTATTCCCTGGAATTCAGAGGCTCTAGCCTAAAGATGACTGCCACCAAGTGAGCTGGCTTTATGACACTAATGAATAAGCCCCGTGTGTCAGACACTGCTGTGCTCTGTGGCTGTCCCTGAGAGCAGGGGGCATACGATGCAAGCTGCCTGGGACAGCGGCCCAGCCAGATGTTGGCCGCGAGGGCCCAGAGGAAGAGGAACCGTTCTGACTTGGTCCGGCTGGTCGGCTGAGTGAGGGAGCTGTGCCTTGGCTAGTGCTGAGGTGGGGACTCACGAACAGTTGTGGTTCATTTGATCTTTGTTAATTGCAAGGACTTGTCCCAGAACCTTGGTTCATTTAAAAAGCAAAAGGCTAGTGAAAGCAAGTAACCGAACCGGTGAACTCACGTATCTGTAGGTTCCTCTTAGGTTGGCTGCCTTCACTTTCTGGGTCACATCCTTTGCAGCTGAGACTTGTCTTCTCTCTGCAGGGCCGTTAGGGCACGGTCATTAGGGCATGGCCCTCTCGGCCAGCAGCCGGCCCGCCTCGTGTTAGCCGGGGCGAAGGCGGCCGCCTCCCTGTGGGGCCCTGAGTGTTCTTGTGAAGGTACTTGGGCCCTGGTTGCTGGGTCAGAAGATGTGCTATAAATGCTGGCTGTTGGGGGGAAAAGGTAACGGGCAGGACAAGGTGCTGCTGCCGAGTTCAGAGGTCAGAGTGTAGGGTGGAAGTGGGCGCAGAGACTGAATGCCGAGCTCTGGCCTGGCTCACTTGAGGCTTCTCTCAGAGAAAAGGGAGGTTGGTTTGCTTGGCAGAGACCGTAGGGGGTAGGTTTTGCCGATTTTAGCATTGTGAGGGGCAAAAAGAAAAGGGCTGAGTGGATCAAATGCCAGGAGTGCGCTTTGGCTACAAACCAAAACGGGATGTCTGAGCCTGTTGGGTGGTGTGCTCTTCAGTGGAAACCAAACCAACCAAGTAGTCAGCTTTTCCTGACTCAGTTCCTTGATTTAGTGGCTTTTACAAAGTAAGTTGGATGCTGTGGGCTGTTGTAGGAGACATGCAGAGCCCCAGGTGGCCCCGGGCTGGCTTTGCCTTGTGGTTTCTCAGCTTCAGGCCTGTCCAGCCCACAGAGGCAGTTCGGGCACCCACTTCCCTCCGCCCAGACAGCTGGGAGAGGGAAGGCTCTGCTGCCTCCAGCAGGCCCTGTGGGCCCTGCGTCCACCTCTGGGAACCATGTCCATGTCGGTGCCTCCTCAGCAATGGGGTTGCTGTGGGCACCCCCTGGCCTCAGGTTTCCGTCCTGCAGTGAGCGGCAGCCACCCGCCGCCTCCTCACCCGGCAGGAAGGCACTGTTGGCCTCTGCTTTTGCCGCCATCAGTGACTGGATGGGGCAGTGTCTTAGACCCACGCAGGTGTTGCCAGGCAGCTCTTGCCTGAAACACTTTACCTGTGGGCCTGTGGCCCATCCCATTAATCCTGCTTTTTGCCACCCCTTGCTCACCTGGCCTCTCTGATAAGCTTTGCCCAGAAGGTGGCAATCACACATCCATCCCACCCCGGGGGCACCACTCCAGCAGCATGCTCTGCGTTTACAATACAGGTAATATGTTCTGTCTGGAGAGCTGCGGGAGCTCACAGACAGCAAGGCAACTGCCAGCCTCCCTCATAAGCAGCTGCTACCACTTCACCCTCAGCCCGAGGCCTCGCCCCCTGGGTGTCTGTGGCAGGCGTCCCTCAGCGGTGTGAGGCCACAAGCCTTAGCTCAGTGTCTGCCAGGCACCTACCCACAGCCCAGAGCCTGCTGTGTCTGCAGAGCTAAATCGGCCATCGTCTTTTAAATTTAACCACCAAATTCTGTCAAAGCCACCACCCTGCAGTTAACAATGAGGGTAACCTCCAGCCTTCTTTCTTGAAAGGGAATGGCGATAAGCAGCCCAGGTACAGCAGTTTCCCCCGGACCAGACGGCAGGGCTGGGCCTGCAGCGCAGAGGCTGCCCCTGGGGAGGGCTGGGGAGGAGGGAGCTCGAGGCCTGGGCTGCCTGCACACTGCTCGCTCCTGCATCTCCCTGCACTGCTAACCAAGAACTGTTCCTTCTCTTGTCCATCTCACTCCTGTTGCACCTGAAGCGGTTAAGTGCCTGGTGGGATTGTCCCGTGAGCCAGGGGCAGGGGGCTTTGCTCTGTAGCCAGAGGACGCCAGGGATCTGTGCTGCTGAGCCAGCGCTTCCAGATGCTGCCCTGCGTGGGCAGTGCCTCGGGGCAGCTTCTCAGAAGTGCTGGTCTTACAGTCTTGAAGGGTCAAACTGAATGTTCCTTTCATCTGTCACTATCGTCTTAGGCTTGAGTAGGTATCTGACACGTCCCCCCACATTTCCTCAAGCTGATCTCCTCTTTCTTTCCTTTTCAGCGATACTGGAGTAACCGCTTCCTAAGCCATTGTGCAGAAATGTGAGGGTGTTCGGTTGCGTGCATGTGCGTTTTTAGCAACACATCTGCCAGCCCTCTGCATGGTTGAAGTTGGGGGGGGAAGAAAAGTAGAAAAAAGCCCCCGACTCATTGTGTGTTATGTGGAGGAAATGTGTATTACCAATGGGGTTTTTAGGTTTTAAATCAAAATAGTAATTATAAATGTACAGTTCAGCTTCATGAATCCGAGAGCCTCGCCAGAGAATTTGTTTCTCTGCTGCAAGAAGAATGAGGTTCTGAAACTTTATCCAAGAACTCAGATGCCATCAGCCAAGTCTCCATATTTCTCTGCAAAACGTCGGCTTATGTGAACATACAGTAGTCAATATTCAGCTGTACTGCATGCCTTCAGGTGGGAGTAGCCAGATTTCTACGGTGTCATTGAAACATGTTACCTTTTAATTGGCCCTGTACAGTTTTGCTTATTTATAAATTTACTGAAAACACTACAGGTGTTGAATGGTTAAAATGTAGGCCTCCAGTTCATAACTTGTTATTTTTTGAGTGTACAAACAGCTATTTTGCACTGTATTAAGTGTAACTTATTTAATGAAATCAGAAGCAGTAGACAGATGTTGGTGCAATACAAATATTGTGATGCATTTATCTTAATAAAATGCTAAATGTCAATTTATCACAACGCATGTTTGACTTTAGACTGTAAATAGAGATCAGTTTATCTCTGTGCTGGTAACAAGCATTGCACAGACATGTTTCAGGTAAATAAATCTATTCTACGATAAGCTCACAGTGTGGTGTTGACTGTCCTGTGGGCGGGAGGGGTGGTGACCTGTGCTGAGGGCCTGCAGCCCTGGGCAGTTCTGCCCTTGTGTGGATAAAAGGAAGGGGGTAGGTTCTTGGACTTGACTTTCTGGGTAGGAGAAGAGTGGTAGAAGGTCTGCTCATGTCACAAGATTTATAAAATATTCCTGCCCTGGCCTCCTGCCTTCCCCCGCGTGTGGGGACAGCGGAGTGTGTCATCGGGGTTTTCAGAGATAATTGACATGATTAAAAAGCCTGCACCTTGGAGACTAGCAGTGGAGAGGTGGTTCTAATCCTGTTCAGAGGCAAGATGTAGAATTCTGCCTGCCTGCTGCTGATGCAGAAGAGTAGGACCGAGGCAGGTCCTGACGCTCACTCGCCTGATGGTCACTTAGCGTTTATCTGCCGGGGTGGATGTTCGTGGGGCTTTTCTCTGTTTTCTAAATTCCCTACGATTGTCACTTTAAAAAAACAACCACCAGGGATGCAAGGGTAGTTGGATGAGTCTATAAAACTAATAAATACAAGCCCTGTGGACTCTATAGATGGGAAGAAACATTTGCTAAAATTTAACATCCATTCTTAACTCCCATTTTATAACATGATGAAAAATAACGTGAAGTATTGAAACCCCAGAGTCACTCACCGTCGGCCGCTGCCCACTGCTTAGCGCTGTCCTGGAGTGGTGGCCGTCAGGCAGGGGAAGGGACAAGCCTAGGAGGAAACAGAGCAGGGGTCATGGATCGGATCCATTGGTTCCTAGGAACGTTCGATCGTTCGAGGCGCACTGACGTCTTACTGCGAAGGATATATAATGCATATGTTAGTGACACATGAAATACAGGTAGGTGTTGTAATCAAGTAGGAAGGTGACACTGAAGCTTAGTAGGTACCCGTTGGGTTGCTTATTATGCCAGTGGGCATCTTGGGAAACGCGGCTGTACTCCTGTACCCAGTCACAAAGGGATCAGAGGACGTGAATGAAACTACTTCCCCCGAAAGAAAAATGTCTAAATGACACAAACAAAAGAAAACGTGAATGGCTTATAAATACGAAAAGATGTTCTGCCCCAGGGCCCACCCAGGGTAGCACAGTGCCTCCGGTCGTCTCCCATGCCGACGGGCCTGCGCAGGGCACAGGGCAGCTCTCTGCTGTCACTCGACTTTTCTGTAAAACTGTAAAAAATGGCTATTACTGAAAAAGGTGGGGTTACAGCAGCGTTAATATGGGTCAATTTTTTAAATGTTAAGCAAAAGATACGCTGACAACATGACTGTACATTAAGTTCAAGAACAAGCGAAAGTGTTTAGGATAAAAAACATGGTAAAACTAAAACTAGAACAGCAGTGTTATTTTGCAGGTGAACCAAACGAGCCCACCATTTGCGCCGGCTTCTCGGACTTTCCGGGGTCAGAAGACAAATGAAGCGTAATAATGGTT